TGCCGACGGGGCCGAGCAGTTCGTTCGAAACTCGTCCGCCCTTTGGAGAGAAGGTCCCCGGAAATCGGGAATTTTTGAGGGTTTTGGGGAATTTGAATTCATAACTGGAATCAGGGGCACGGAAAGACCCCAGAATGACAAAAACATCGAAGGTGAAGTTTTGGGTGTACGTTGTCTTTAAGTAGGGCACACAATCTAATAGTTTACGGTACGACAGATACGGCATCAAGTCACTAGTTATAGATAATTTCTCATTCTTGCTATTTAGTTTGGGCTCGCAAGCAAGAATATAGGAGCCTTCCAAGGCTTCTCGTGCAAAATGTGGTGTGCGTGGGACAAGATTTTGCACCTGACATCGTAATCAATACCGTTATGTTCAATCATTCTATGCTTTCCCAGTTTAGTTCACTGGGAAAGCATAGAATGATCGAACATAACGGTGTTGATTACAATGTCAGGTGCAAAATCTTGGCCCAACACCAAATTTCTGCAAGAAACCCCTTGAAAGGCTCGTATATTCTTGCTTGCGAGCCTAAATTAAATAGCAAAAGTGAGAAATTATCTATAACTAGTGACTTGATGCCGTATCTGTCGTACTGTAAACTATAAGATTGTGCGCCCTAGTTAAGCAGCCCCAGTAGCTTGGGTACTCATTTGACACCGCACTCGACCAAGCACATCCGGAGCTACAACATCGGTGATATACTTGGTGGGTGGACCATCGCCCCCAAACTCCCTGCTTCCGCTCAAGACGAATCGAGTGGCAAGTCGGTGGGAATATTTGGCGGCAGAGATCGTGTATCAATGTGAATGACGCCTTTTCAGCAACTGAAGACGGCGTCTTGCCGAAACGTCGGGCAATAAAGTATATATTTATAACAACCTGTACGGCATAATACTCTCATTGCTGTTTTTCTGGCATGCTCTTGACCTCAGAGGCTCACTTACTATATACGCAGCTTAGTGTTTGTCTTCTAAATTTGACATCGTCTTTGTCGTGTAGCTTTAGATGTTTGTCTCTTATCCTTGATCATCTTGTATCCAAGTCCGATGTTAGCGTTGTTGGGGTAAGCCGAACGAGGTTTCCTGCCCGCCGGGTACGCATGATTTCGCTCATTCGCCCATGTGCTCGTCCCTCTTTCTTCGCTCGAAAGTGACCGTATATTTCTATACGGTCACGCATCGTACTTGGACTTGTACTTATACCAAGTTTAGCCCCCACGACACTGACTTTTAAGACTACACTGACGAGCACCTGTTTAGAGAATTACTCTCCTTAATTTTAGGGTGTTGAACATGTCACAATTTCGTTTCATTACTGTCTTTGTCTGTCGATTCGTGTTTTTGTACTGGCGCACTGTGCACAACAGTGTATCAATGAATAAATAAATAATATAACAATCAAAATTATCAATTACTTTTATCGATTTTATCGATTTTTTGTAAAGTTTGACCTGCGGGGCTGGGAGTTTGCACAGGGGGATAATCGAGCATGCTGATTACAAATACAATCTTACTTTTTGGAATCATCCGCTACAACTATCGATTTTATCGATTTTTTTGTAAAGTTCGAGCTACGGGGCAGTTGGCACAGGGGGGGGGGGGTAATCGAGCATGATGATTACTAGAACAAAGGGGAACAGTGAACTGGCATGTAGGCGTGGGCACGGGAAAGGTTGTACTGGTATAGGGATGTGAGCTTTATCATAGTGTTTTGACAGGGCCGGGCGGAGCCGTGTAAGCCAGCTAGTACCGTAAAATCTCAACCCATGGCTTTGAGGGACGATGCCTTTAGCGGCACGTAGAGCATGTGTTCGCTACCGAAAATCTCGTGCTCAAACCAATTAATTACATTTGCTTGAACCACACCAAATATTGCGACAAAATAGCCCAACTTAAAGGAACTTTTTGACAAGTTTTGAGACAGCTGATTTTGTTGCTGATGAAATTGATTTTGAGAGGAAAGCTATGTTGTTTGTAGTATTCATGTTACGGACGTCCTCTTGCTTCCAAAATTATGTGTATTCTATCAATTTTCCATCAATTTTCCATGAAATGTGGTGAAAGAAACTGGATGAAGCAAAGATTTCGAGAGGGCAGTAGCTCACATAATCGCCGGGGCAAGCGGTCCGCAAACTCGCGCTTTCTTGAGGCGGTCAGCAGAATTTTGTGGCGTGGCCAAACTTCAGCGGGCGGCACTTCCTTTACGGACGTATTCTGCCAGCGGGCAACAATACAGCATTTTCTGCAAGCGCTCGTCAAATAACCTCTTTCAGCGAGGGCTAGAACTCTTTTAACGCAGTATCGTGCATACACCGAGTGAAGATGAGACTCATTGTGGCAGAGGTGTCATCGATGGTTTAATTACTCAAGTTTGAGGTACCTTCTTTCACGGAAGGTACATACGGGCTGTGCGGTCCTTCACAAAGGACTGTGCGGCACCCGATATTTTTGCATATTCTCGCGGAAATATGCATATTCTCGCGAACAACTTCGAAGAGCTTATGCAATTAATTCGGGAGACGGAATTGCTGCTTTGGAGACGGTGTTCCTGACAAGAGTTTGTAAAAAGAGGACGAGAAAATACAAGACTTACGATGCGATTGTAGCATTGGCTAACATTAAGATATAAATATGGATAAGCTTCCTGCCCTATTTCTCCCCGTGGATTATCTGCCACCCATAAGCAACGATCGCCCGCCCCCCGCTCATATAATCGCCGGGGCAGGCAGCCATGCGAATTCTGAGCAAGCGAGTAGGAGACATAGTTCGCTGATCCTGCGGTCCGCTGGCAGAAATCTGGAATAATTTTGGCCAATTTTCAAACGAACGCTCGAAGAACTACCGCGGTCTTTCTATGGATAAGTTGCGGCTCATTCTCGCGGACTTTCTGCGAGAATATGCAAAATGTTGGGAGCCGCAGGGTCCATTGTGAAAGACCGCCCTGCCCAGGGTACCTTCCGCTGAAAGAAGGTACCCCAAACCTGAGTGATTAAACCATCGATGACACCTCTGCCACATGAAGTCTCACCTTTGCCCGGCATACGCCCGAAACTGCGTAAAAAGAGTCCGAGCGCTTGCTGAAAGTTTGGCCAGCGCTCGCTGAAAGAAATTATTTGCCGAGCGCTTGCAGAAAATGCTGTATTGCTGCCCGCTGAAGATTTGGCCACGCCCCAAAATTCTGCTGACCGCCTGCAGAAAAGCGCGAGTTTACGGACCGCCTTCCCCGGCGATTATCTGAGCGTGTGGCACAATCTCTCGAAAAAGAAGTGGCAGTCAATGCGTTTTTAAAGCCCCGCCATACCCCAACATTTTTGTCACAGATGTTTTGAAGGACAATATTTATGTCAATGAGCAGCCTAAATCTCGTGTTTTTCACAGAATTAATTTGAGCCTGATTCGTCTTCGTATGTTTGAGTAATGATTGCTGAAAGCATAATCACTGAGCACAAAAATGGGGTGAACGAGATTTCTGCTTTTAACTTTTCAATTAGGACTTGTCTCTGAAGTGGGATTCCTAATGTGAGCCAACAAGAAATAATCTTTCATAATAAGTATAAGTATTTGTGGTGAGTGCGAAAACAGGTGCTAACTCATTTTTGAAACAATGTTACCATCCCAGCCAAGTAGACCAGCACTACGGAACTTCAGAAGTCGCTAAACCTCGGTCTGCGAAGGCTATTCGACTTACTAGTTAAGAAAATGATGCTCATTATGCTTTACAGAGCCTCCTTCTTATGCCTAGGACAGGCATACGGCAGTGGCATACACCAGGGCCCGGCAGGAGGTGGCATTTCAGGATTTTGAAAACGATATCCCCTTTGAAGCCAAAATTTCTTACGACTTCCCTTTTGACCCTGTTTTTGACCCCCGTAAGTCCCTGACAAACAGATATACACAAATAATAAGATGGGCCTCAGCGCTTATTATAGTAGTACTACCTGGCTTTCCTGGTCCAGCCCGGGTCATCAAGGTTTCAGCGCAATGGGTTCATCCGCAAAGGAATCTACAAAAAAAACATAGGGTCAAGATTTGCACAAGCTTTGACGTTTATATATCTAAGATACTACTCGTTTATTGGTCAGCTGCGAAACTTTGCAATTTACAATAACCGATTACGATTGGAGCGCGCTTTCCGAGGCCGATCATAACGCTTTGAACCCTATTTGGGGCTGTATCGAAGCGGTGCCTTGGTGGTTTTGGAAGCGGGTTTGAACATATAGTAATACTCTCGACCTAGTCCACATTTATGTAAAGAAATCCGGGAAATTATGTGAAGGGAAGCAGGGAGCCACCCCAGGTGGCTCCCAGGTGGCGCGGGAGCCACCTAATTTCGAAAAACACTTACCATTTTTTAAATTCACATAAGTTTCTCATAATTCTTCATACTTTTTTTGTGCTCATGGTCCTCCAACTACACAGCAAATTTGGTGCCATATCGTTACTTGTGCATTGAAAACGAGCCTATTTTATTATTTTCCTCTTACAAGAATTGTGATTTGAATTCCCCTGCGGGCAGACTAGCGATCGGAGCACAGAATCTTCACATTGCTGGAATCTAAGTTCATAGGATAGTAGCATCAACAAGGAATGATGAATAAAGAATGGTATGTGCACTGTTTATCGGTAAACAAAGGGGAAGTCGTATTTTGGGGTCCGGGGCTCTGCCCCGAACCCCAAAATACGACTTCCCCTTTGCTTTTTCGGGCCAAAAACGATATCCAGCTTGTGAAAGCGCCACCTCCGCCGGGCTCTGGCATACACAGGATTTCCGTTCGGGGGGGGGGGGGGGGGAAGGAAACAAATTTTTTCTGAAGAAAATGCACGCACTCCAAAAATTTTTGGTATGCTTCCTGAAATTTTTGCGCGGCCCATAACCCCAAAATTTAGAAAAAGGGGAGTAGCTTTCATTATCATCAATGTCACTTCAGACGTCCCCTCCCCTCTCTGACCCTTCGATACGATCCCCCGGTATGCTTAACCCTGATGGTGAAACTTACTTCAATGCAAACGTCACAAGGTCGAGAACATCATCCAGATAAAACTCCGGATAAGCTGCAAATAGCTGGGGAGCAGCAGCTGGTAACTCGCTTTCGTAGCGGCTGAATGCTACTTTGATTAATAATAGGATTTTGAAGAATACCAATCAACTTACAAATTGGGAGTGATCGCATTTAGTAACAACTGTAGTTGCTTGCTCGAAAAATCCAACGCCAAGCTAATAAAAGATGGGTCGGCCAACATACATTCATAGCACATTGCAGTGTGAGTGAAAGACTGTAAATCCTATATATATATATATATATATATATATATATATATATATATACATATATATATATATCGAAGACAGAGTGAGATGAGGGATATCTCACCAATTTCTGCTCCGTCCTGTGTTTGATTTTTTGACTTATACGGTTCTTCTCGTGTTCTGCGAAGATACCCTCAGGAACACGATTTAGCTGTTCTTGTAGTTCCTAAATTTTGCAATCTGCGATCCAGTTTTGAACCAGTGTTTAGAAAGTACTGCAAATTAGCTTACCCTGATTTGCTCCCGTATATCCACAATGTGTCGTCTTAAACTTCTGAGGCGATTCACGCCAGGTTGCAGACAAATATTTTGGCATTGCATAGTCAGGAAAAAACATTCCGTTGTAAATTTGTCATCTCCAGCAGCTAAACGATGCTAAGTTCTCAATATGCTCTCCGACAGCCACTTTTGATCATTGAAATGCAGCACAACAAGGGCTAGCTGCTTTTGGAAGAAACTCGACGTCTATGCCCTTCTGCAGCGCTACTTCCTAGCACCGATTACTCCACCTCAGGGCGGCGCTGATTGCTCCGCCTTTATTATAATCTACCAGAACTTACTATGCTTGCATATTTTGAAGCAAAAAGTGCCATTTTCGAACAATAACGGAGAAGATGTTTGATTTATAAAGACAAGATAAAAAGGTTGCGTTTTTTACTCGCCATTTCGTAATTTCCTCCCTTTTCCCAGTTTTCCAAACCACTTTAAAGGCAGCGTCCAGGCAAGTCTGGACACATGGGGATCTCACGTGGATAGTAAGCCACTGCCTAACCGGCAGCTCAGGTAGTGCTTTAACGGCTGACATATTTCCCTCGAAACTGGACCCCGCGATCGTATTTCGCATGGATTCATGACGCAAAGCGTGGATACTGGCGCGAAACTGCCATGAATGCATGCTAATATGATCGCGGAGTCCAGTTTCGAGGGGGATATCTCAGCCGCTAAAGCACTACTTGCGCTGCCCTTGGGCAGTGCCTTAGTTAGGGCCCCAAAAATACTTTCCACGTAAAATCCCCATAGGTCCAGATCTGCCTGGACCCTGCCTTTAAGGGCAGTGCCTCATCAAAATTGGGGTGTGCGGATCTCCACATATTCTGTTGAAGGACCCCCTGAACAAGCGACCGCCTCAAGTTCGACATCCGGGCATTCCTACGACGAGAAATTCGCCCTCAAAGTGGCCCACGAAGCACGATTTGGCCGCATGCCCGACGCTCCCGGTTTCCCCCTTACACGTTTCAACATCCCTTCACTTGGCGTCCACCTCCATGGTGTTGCTGCTACTATGGCGGAGGCTAGGCTGAGAAGGCACAACTCGTCTTTGATTCCATGGGGTTCTCAAAAATTTCGTAAATTTATGAGATTTTAGACCCGCACTGAGTTAGACAGGGACGAAAAGAATTGCATTATGCGAAAATCTTGAAGGCACCGTCCACCCAGATTTTCGACTTCCACGTTTTTGTCGTTTCAGGGCCTTCTCATGTCCCTGATTCCGAATATGAAGTCGAGAATGCGCGAAAAAACCGACAATTCCCATTTCGGAGAACCCACGAGCCGGCTTTCCGGAACCAAATATATTTCGATATTTGTAGCCGAATGATTTATTCGAACTAGAAAAATCGAGTATTCGGGAAAATGCGATTATTTGATTATTCGAGTAGTCGAATTGAAAAAGACTTTTGTTCGAATATTTGTTTATTCGACGAACCGTAGAAACAACTTATTCGAAATTTACTCGAAAATTCGAAGAAATCCAGAATGGGAATAGGGCAGAAAAATATAGTGCAGGTAGGGAATGGCGATCTTCATCGTAGTGTACTGACAGAGCCGGGCATGCCAGTGCCATACGACAAGATGTCTTTGAATATCACTCACGACATTTTTCAGCGAAGTCCTTTCCTGTCTGAAGGTCCATCTTCAGCCTCGTCTTCTCAGCGATATCCACTCGACTGTTTGATTGGAATGGATACATAGGATTGACCTAAACTGAATAGTGAAAATCATCGAATTATCCCATGTTCAATAAACGTCCTAGGAGTAGGTTTTAACCATGCACATGGGGTATGCAGGTGTGCGTCGAATTCTTTTCCCCTCCCCCGGTCGACTTGGGTACTCTTACGCATCACTTTATAGGTTCAACAATGCCAAAATCATCTCCACTCTGGCGGTACCCAGCTTATCCGATCGCAATTACGGCGTCGAGTCATGGATCTTCCCCCTCCCCCCCCCCCCCCCTAGTTTGCCGCAATGCCACTATAGCACCAAGTTTTGTGGAACACAAAATTTGAGATTGGCCTGGCGGCAAAGAGACCGCCGTGTGCGACGTCCCTGAGGTGCAGCTCTCCTAAGGTAGCGTTTTGACCGAATCTCACCAAAAATAAGCAGATCTTGACCAGCATACTTGAGCAAACACGTACCTTCGAGATGTCGATTTTTGATGAAAGTTCGAACATCACGCACATGAGATTCACCATAAAAGTGTGGGAAGCAAGCGTAGCAAAATCAGCCTCAAAAAAATAGCATGTAGCATGCATCTAAATGTTCGCTTGACAAAGACCCTCATTTGCGCTCTCTTCTCGTTCTGCTTGATCACAACGGCAAAATAATCCAAGCATCGGCTGCGCGACGATGGATTTGCTACTAATTGATGGACTATTTGGTGCATCAACGACTAAAAGTAAACTGTACAAACATTAAAAGAGAAAAAATGATGAACATACTCTAGTGGTCTCAAACCTTCTACGATAACTCTCGTACATCATATTCAATGCCTCCGCTTTAGGCGTTTCGTTATCACCAAAAAACTTGCTTGCCAATGGAGTCTGAAATGAGAAAAAGAAGCCAGGTACAAAGATTGAAGGGGGTAACTTACTACAAACTCGTCACAAGGAATACCATAACTGATGAAGGGGCCGAGGTAGGAGAGATGAGCAATTTCGCGACCTGTTATTCCAGTGACAAGCTCAGGTAAAAAGTCGGCACGTTCCACCATCTATACAAGATTACATGAGCTAATTTCATCGAATTCTAAATTTATAAACTGTTTTTGCAATGAGCTCACTGTGAAACGCGCTCCTACTTTGTTTCGATCTCACTAGAGCAGTTTTCTGCTGTATCGGAACCGCAACAAGATGAATACCATACTAGCGACCCTATGGGTCGCTAGCAAGTGGGTCGGGGCAGATACAATATAAGGGCTCAGTTATAACTATACATTTTTCTAAGTAAGTTTCCTACTCCTTTGACATTTTTGCGAAAACAATTCCGACAGCAACGAAATCAATCGTCTAACAATAAGAACTTTGTCAGAGAATCCTTCAATTGTTTCGCCAAAGGAATATAAAGCTTCAACAAAGGGAGATTCCTCCCCGAAAAGCACGACTACTGAACCACGACCGTCAATCATAAGAACTGCACAAACGTACAAAAAATTTGTTTCCCTGTCCGATTAAATTGCCCCACGTGCTACTTACAAACTAATGTCTCTATCTGAAAGACAGTTCATGCCCTACGTGCCGCTCGAAGACCGTTTAAAAATTATAAGAACTGCCCAAACGAACAAAGATCTGTTTCCCTGCCCGATCGAGTTGCCCTACGTGCCGCTTACACACCGATAGTAACTATTCAGAAAGAAAGTTTATGCCCTATGTGCCGCTTAAAGACCGTATATACAAGAAAAACCAACCTTACGACTTTACAGAAAGAAAACAACGAAACCAAGTATTTACAGCGTATTCTCAAATTGCTGTACATGTCACTTTTGGACTTTCAATTCTGAGAACTGCCCCAAACGTACAAAAATCTGTTCCCCTGCCCGATCGAGTTGCCCTACGTGCCGCTTAGGGAACGGCCATAGGTTGTCGGTGTTGTCGAGCCTGTGCCCGTGCCTTAGCAGCATGAGGCTCCCGCCAGAGTGCCGAAGTTATGCCAGCGCTACGCCAGCATTTCGATCGATACACGTGTATTTCGTTGGGGCGGGGCTAGCTGACGTCCCCAACGAAATACACGTGTATCGATCGAAATGCTGGCGTAGCGCTGGCATAACGTCGGCACTCTGGCGGGAGCCTGAGCACGCCGGTACTGCAGGCCAGTGACATCTGCAGTACTGGCGTGCTCAATTTCGTTGCTCCGAATCTCAAAGAAATGGAAAAGTATGTTCAGTCCTACGTTATGAAATTTTGAAGTGGCAACTGCCATTGACCGAGCTAAAATGGTACGTCAGATGTATTGTAAACATAAACACTATCCGAAAACATGATGTAAGCCTCGCAACAGCGACGATTCTACGGCGCTACAATACAGCCGTCCTTTCTGAGGAGGAGGTAATCCATACCCGACCTTATGCAAGCTGAAGAAGCCATATGAGGCTGCGACGAAAGCAGCAATCCTGCTTCTATGATCTCTAAAGAGTGAACAAGACTGTTGAAGCGCATAACAGTCATCAGTACAGTCGAAGCTAATGATTATACAAAATTATCCGAACAAGCTGAAGTCGCGCTACAATGTGCACATTCCGAAGTGAATAGTTAGTCATCTATCTCATTGTGCTGCATCGTTGCCGCACAACAATACAGACAATGAGGACAGTTACTATGAAGGACTGTTATGTCCAGATCTCTAAGTGCGCGAAGGATAACATGCTTCAATCGATTAGCGCTGGGGCGCGACTCAGTTTCCCCACAAGTTCCGCGGCCGATTATGGCAGTTCCAAAGGTTGTGAACCGAATGAACCTGTTCAACAGGGAAGTCTGGCACCTTTCTGAGTCGTCGGACGCACATCTAACGTGCGCGGCGCAATGGCCGTACGCACGTCCTACTCTCGCAATCCTGCAGGCCCCTATATCCTGTAGCTCCAGATATTTGGATTTCATGCCGTAACATAGGGCATTGCGTACGGCCATTGCGCCGCGCACGTCAGATGTGCGTCCGACGACTTAGATAGGTGCCAGACTTATTCTGTTGAACAGGTTCATTCGGTCCACCACCTTTGCCGTTGGACAGTGTAGTGATGTGACATCTGAGCCGAACGAAATGGCTGAAGCGGATAAGTGTGGCACCTGCCTTAGTGAGTGGCATCAGACGTGCGCGGCGCAATGGCCGTACGCACGTCCGACTCTCGCGATCTTGCAGGCCCCTATACCTACTAGTTGGCAAACCCGGCTCCGCCCGGGCCTGTCAATACATTTGTAATCGGCATGCTCGATTACCCCCCTGAGCCCTCCCAGCCCTATAGCTCAAATTTTGCAAAAAATTGACAAAATCGATACCGATGCTAACGAAAAGTAGCCTATGACACCCGCCCTGCCCCGAAGTGTATGTGTGCCAAGTTTGGTCCCGATCGATCCAGAAATGGAATATTCTATTCGGAACATACGTACACACAAACAGACAGACATACAAACACACATTTAGCTTTATATATAAGAATATCCTCAGGGTAATCTCACCACCCTTCACTATGAAGATATTGAACGAGAACAAGAGGTTGTACGAGCCGCATTTTCCAGCTTTTTGTGTGATCCCCTGATGATCTCCGGTGACCGTCTTATCTTCGAAGTGATTTTTCTTTCCTCGAAGTAAGCGAAAACCTTTCGAAGTTTATCTAACAAAACAGTGCTAAGCATGTTGGTGATGAGAACGAATGAGTTTTTGGAAATCGAATTTTTCGTTAAACCCCAACTTTGGACTTGTGGCTCATCCCAAATTTTATAACTCAAATACATCATGTGTTCTCATCAGCAACATGCTTATCACTGTCGGGTTAGATAATCTGTACAACTTTGGAAGCTTTTCATTAAATTCGAAGGAAGAAAAATGACTTCGAAGAGGCCGCAGGGGATCACCAGGGGATCGTACAAGAGGCTGGAAAACGCAGCTTGTACACTTCCCGCTCCCATTCATGTTCATAGTGAAGGATGGTAAATACTTACGAGGAGGTAGGGTGAAATTTAGATTTCTGAAGCTTCAAGATATGAAGCGCCGGCTACAGGGCTCCACGTCAAGAGTCACGCCGCGCGTCGCGGCCGCTTCGCCACACCGACGCGCCTAAATTTTGTACCCCACAAAACTGTTAACTAAAGTGGCGCGGCGCCATCTAGGGGGAGGGGGGGGGGGGGTAAGAGGGGGGTAAGGGGGGGGGGGGCAGATACATGGCCTGTGCCCTTAAAGGCAGTGTCTCACCAAAATTTCGTTGCCGAGATTTTTGCATTTTGCAAGCCTATCGGACCCTGTATAGCACTGTATGGGCTTAAAGGCACCGTCCACCCAAAGTGAGGGTTGATGAGATTTCGGTGCATACTAGTGTGGGCCCCCACACTAGGCAAACCCCCAAGTGGCGCCGCAAAATACTCCCTCCGAAGCGAGAAATCCGCTCCGGAAGGGACGTAACCGGAGGTGGTCACTCCGCCCACTTTGCAGGCGCACCGTTGGAGATACTACACGCACAGCGCAGTACACTGCTTCGTCGTAGGCGACTAATCGGAGTTTTTCAGTGTTATTTCGTGTATTAGTATTCTTAGCCGTTCGTTTTTTATTCAATCATGACCGAATTTACGACAAAGTTGTTTGTCCGATTATAGCTATCATCAGCATCCGGCATAGCCGTTTCTTGATGTAAACATGATCTTTCTTTATAGGTGACGCTTGTGCTCAGTGAAACAAGATGAACATGCGAAAAGAACGTGAGTTTTTTTCATTGCAATGTACATCAAATTCAAAAACTATTTGTGGTCAAAATGATCGTTGTCGTCGTTACTACATGACTAATGGATCATTGCAATCTGTTACGCATTTCTGCGCAGCTGACTTGCTATTGCTGTACGTTGATCTTGACGTGTTGTTAAATTATTTGATGGGATTGTTTTTCAGACAAGTGAATCCTTTTCCATTTCCTAAAACTCCTAATCGATTGCACAATTGCCCGTGACTAGTTTGCAAATGACGCCCTGCGTATATCAGCGCGCCTGCAAAGTAGGAGGAGTGACCACCTCCGGTTACGTCCCTTCCGGAGCGGATTTCTCGCTTCGGAGGAAGTATTTTGCGGCGCCACTTGGGGGGTTGCCTAGTGTGGGGGCCCACACTAGTATGCACCGAAATCTCATCAACCCTCACTTTGGGTGGACGGTGCCTTTAAAATCGCACGAAGTTCCCAAAAACCCCGTTTTCTGGAGGCCCCGCGGAAGCAACGTGGACGAGTTGTGCCTTCGAACTTCAGCCTCAGCCACAGTGGCAGCAACAGAGGGGAGGCGGATGCCAAGTGGAGGGACATGTTCAAACGCGCAAGGGAGGAGATCGAAGGGGTCGTCCGCGCGTACCAAGTCGCTCTCCGCTACCACTTCGAACGAATTTTTCTCAGCGTGGAGGGGGGTCAAATTGAGTGGGACTTGTTACAATGGCCTATTTAGAGGTCCCCATAATAGAATATGTGAAGATCCGCGCAACCTCAACTTTGGTGAGACACTGCCTTTAAGACTGCGCCAGGAGTGCTGACTATTGTATGGCTGACATCACTTGCAGCATCGCTTCGCGAAAAATTTGCGCCGACCGTGACTCCTGACCGTTCCCGGCTACAGGCGCTAACGAGGGCTGCCGCGCAGTATGAATGCACCTTTGCGCTCAAACAGTGTTTTGGCTGAAAAAGTGCTGTAATTAGGGGATCTTTCCTGCTAAATGGTATTCTTAATATCTTTGTTTTTCCAAGCCTTGCGAGGATTGGAGAATGCCGCAGTAACTTATGAACGGTCGCTATATGAGTAATTTCCATACGTCTTAAAGGCAGCGTCCAGGCAGATCTGGACCTATGGGGCTTTTACGTGGAAAGTATTTTCGGGGTCCTAACTAAGGCACTGCCCAAGCGGCAGCTCATGGAGTGCTGTATTGGCTGAGATATTCCCCTCGAAACTGGACCCCGCGACCGTGTTTCGCATGGATTCATGGCCCAAAGCGTGGATCCTGGCGCGAAACTGCCATGAATCCATGCGAATACGTTCGCGGGGGCCAGTTTCGAGGGGGATATCTCAGCAATTAGAGCACTACCTGAGCTGCCGCTTGGGCAGTGTCTTACTTAGGGCCCCAAAAGTACTTTCCACGTAAAAGCCCCATAGGTCCAGATCTGCCTGGACGCTGCCTTCAAAGCTAGCTAGCTGCTCTCCGCGGTTTTCTGGCACTAAACTCAAAATCGCGAATTTTGAAACGCCATTTTCGAAAGCTTCATTCTCGGTGGCTGCCAGTATGCTTGGACAACTACCATGGTGCGCATGCTCTCTACAATTCCAAAACAAAATGATAAATTTGTGTTTAGTATTCGAAATTTGTTGAATCTCGTCTGAAGTACGGAAGAACTTCCGCGTCTAATATTTTCGAGGGAAAGAGGCAGTGCATAGTTTGAGAACTAGTTCTTATGAAATGAATGTGTGCCACTGAAACGACAAACGAATTGTCAGTCAAAACAATCATTTCAACCAAAAGTATAGACGCCCTCTGAGTACCAAGGTCTGCATGCCTTCGATTAAATTTCGCAAACAAATGAGCGAAAGGAGTTAAGTGGTTGGTAGTCTCAACAAATCTCACCAAGTCACATATGGGTCGCCTTCCATCAATTCGTATAGAAAGCAATTGTATGACAGCGCGGAAGAGTAAGTGCACGCAATCATCACGATTCTTCATCATATGTTGAAAGATCATCGAGTTTCGCTGTTGACTGAGTATAGGATTAAAAACCTAAAAAACAGATAAGCTTCTCTAGAGTGGAATCTGACTCAGCGTACCTCAGATAGAGCCTCAGCCTCGTGTTTTGCGCAGTACGCAATAATATCGCCCAGAAAAACATTTGACACGAGATTAGAATAAAGAAGGCGAACAAGAGATGAACGGGCCAGCTTTCCAGACAAACTAAAAGTCATTTTGTTGATGAAGCAGGAATCGATAGAAATCTTCGCATCACTAACTAAGGTTCGCAGTAGCCACGAAGTAAGGTGACAACGTTCGATAACACTAGTTCACGGAGGTCTAGGCACATCTGCTTCTCATAATCTTGGAAAAACTGAAAGGGATAAATTATAGCCTGTATATCATCACATATATTGTAACTCCTTCTTTTATTCCATGGCACCTTAAAGCCTACTCCAGCAAACAGCATTTAGCAAAAAACTTGAAATGGTGATACCTCATTGCGGCTCTCAGTATTCAGCCGGCTATAAGTTGACATCAGATAATGGAGGGCCATAGACTCCTTTGTATTTTGTATTCTATCCAGCTCAGGTATAAAGAGCACTGACCCAAGTGAGTCCTCTGAAATTTTGATGATCTCTTACGACTACTGGGCTCACACAAATTCCCTTGAATTATACTATTGTGATGGACCTCGGCTTAAAACCACTCAAACGTCGCTGAATCAAACTGTTAAAGGCATTGTCCGGGTGGCGGACTGAACGATAGCGCGCGCTGAGGCAGGCATCTGTTAGTAAGGTGCGCACCGTTAGAACCGTTTCTAGCTGGATGGACGAGTTTTTTGCACTATTTCTTTAGGACTGGTGCATTCATATTGATTAGTCTACTAATAACAGTTCTCGATAGTAAGCTGTAAACTTGTACAAAGTTTCTCCCAAGCTTCTTCTAAGCGAAAATCCCTAACAAAATCTTCAATTGTTTTCCTTGCTGTTTTTTTTATCAATCAATGGGATGCTTACGTGTTGATTGAAAAGTTTTGAAATTTACCTGAACTGACTTTATAAATGACCCGATTATTTGACATCCAGTTCTGAAGTTTGAAAGGCAATGTCGACTACCTCAGGCATGATTGTATGAGTGACCTCAAACGTTTAGACAAGATCACAAGCAACTTTGCATGAATTAGCAATCGACTTATTAGTGGTAACAATTTCGTAAATGTAGTATGACTTTCCTAGATTTTATAACTTTTACCTAAGGCAGGTATGTATTTAAGGTTGCTTTTTCTGAAATTCTATGGTGGGATTCTCAGTGACAATGGTTTGTATTCGATAAGTCAACTTTTTTAAGCATTTCAAAGCAACATCTCCTTTTTGAAGCAGAACATTCAGTATATATGACATATATCTAAATTTTGTGGAATAAAAATTGTACTCTAAGCGTTCAGAACGAATTTTACCAGAAAAATCAATGCAGTGGATCAAAATACTAGACAAAAAACACTCAAATCAAGAATGAGAGGGGAAAAAATTGAAAATAATTTGAAAGATGAAATTTTTGGCAAATTTTTTAAGTTTATGTAATTTGCTGCATATTTCTGGAATGCAGCAATAATACAAGCATGAATGAGACGTAAAAAAGAGCCTTTCCGTAGGTTCAAGGCATTATTACGCTAAGTAACCAGGGGGCGGAGCCTTCAGCGCACCGCTTACGGTAGCCGAGTGGCGGCTGGCACATGCTATCGTTCATAAAGTCACTCACCCCATTGTCCAGGTCAGCTGGGGTAGGGGTAGTGGGGTCTTGACGCATTGCGAGAGAAAGGCTCATGACTAACGCAACAGTTCAGATTTGATCGAAAAAGGTGGATTCTGAAGCGAGAATATCGCTTCGGAAAAAGGGGCGGTACCCCAGTCCAGTCTCCCTATCACGTTTTGACGTGGTAAATGCGCGAAATCAACTGTATTAGCCATGCCAAAACTTGTCAAGGAGGCGGGATTGGAGTACCGCCTCTTCTTTACGAAGCGATTTTCTCGCTTTAGAATCCACTTTTTTCGATCGTACTTAAACTGTTGCATTAGTCATAAGCCTTGCTCTCACACTGCGTCAAGACCCCACTACCCGCCCCCTCCCCTCTCCCCCTCAGTTGACCTAGACAATGCCTTCAAGCCGTTTTCACAATAATGCTTAGCATGACGCTATTCCAGTATCCGGGGCCCAAAGTTTTTTTGTCGCGGATTTCGCCGACACTTGGCCTAGGGGGTTATTCGACATGCTGATCATGATAATCAGATTGAGTATGCGCGGTAGCGCCATTTTCTGAGGTTACGGTGGGTGTACGTAGGGGATCAAAATCGCGGATTTCGCTAAAAGTTGGGCTAGGGGGCTACTTGACATGTTGATCACGACTATCATGCTCGACTTGCATTTTGAAACATTTCTGCGGCGTTATGGCAGGTACATATATGGTAGGGAGTCAGAGCCATAGACCTGCTTGAAAATGTGTGCAGGGGGTTATCTGACTTGCTGATCACGAGTATCGTGCTCATTTCGTGTGGTAAAGCCTTTGCTGGAATTCCGTGATCTAGATTGGCCTGAAAGGAGAAAAAATGTCCAATTCATAGCTGCAAATTACCGTAACACACAATGAGGCGTTATTGCAGCAAGCAAGCATGATACTCGTAAACAGCATGCTCAGAAACCCTTCTAGGCAAAGACTTAAGCAAATTCGGAACTTCGACTTATCTACTGTATAAACAGCGTTACCCAGGAAAATGGCGCTTTTTAAAAAAAAACAGCATGATATTCATGTTCAGAGGGCTCAATAACCTCCCTAGGCGAAATTTGTAGCAAATTCGTGGTTTTTCCCCATACCGTATACCTACCGCAACTCCATGAAAAGGCCGCAAAATGCAGAAAGATCTTGATCTTTGTGACTAGCACGTCGGAAAACCCCCTAGAGCGAATTTCAGCCAAATCCGCAATTTTGACCCCAATCGTGTACCTACCGTAGCCCCACCAAATGACATTTTTCTGCGAAAAGAGTGTGATATACGTGATCAGCATGTCGAATAACCTCCTAGGCGAAGGCCAACTTTCAGCGAAATCCGTATTTTTTTTTTCGGCTAAATCCACGAAAAAAATTTCGGGGCTCGGATACTCGAATAGCGCCTGCAGTTCCATACAGGCCTGCAGTCACGCGCAATACAATGTGTGACGACTCTTGCACAAGAAAACAGAAGGGGAAGGGAGGAAGTGCCGCTTTTGTAAGAAGTCGCGCAGGATGGCTGTTGGATGATTCCGTGCAAAATGAATATCCTTATGGCTCAAAGATGAAAGCTCAAAGCAGTGGCTTGGCATAATGGCAATGGCAATTGGACCTGCCAGATTTGGTAGTGTTGAGCAGCAGACCTCCCCCCCCCCCCTCCGCCTCAACTACATCTAGTATTACGTAATCCCTACCCTACTCTCCTCCAGAAAAAGTTAAATGCTCAAAATAGCGTACCGTAACCTGCGCTCCGCAGATTTTCTGCGGCGGACCCACACCGTTCCAGCTCCGGCTTCGCCCATGTACCGGCGTTTCAAGATACGCAAAGACTGGGCGCCCTTGCGTCCGAGCAAGATAGCTCGTGCAGTGGGAGGCAACAGATGGTAAGAGAAACGAAAGGGCGCTCGATCGAGAGAGACGCAGATAGGTCCGCAGTCTTTGGTGCTACGAATCGCCTATATATGCCGTCATTTTAGCGCAGGAAAGGTGCGAGTCCCTTTATCCCCTATTCAAGACTTTGCGTGGACACATGAACACACTTGTAATGGGCGGTCGCCCGTAAATGTTTCTGCTTTGATCAGGGTTCGGCACGAGCTGGCACCAGGGAAATTCTAGAACGAAGTCTCCTTTGACCTTAAAAGTTTCCTACAAAATCCCCTTTGACGGGTGGAGGACTATATGTCGACGAATGTGGAAGAGTCCCGCGCGGATTTCCTGCAGGAACGCATGTCCGCGCGTATACAAGGGCGCATAATTGTCGCAAGTGACCGCAAGGACCGCCCTCTCTCGGCGACATATAGTCCCCTACCCCCCTTTGACGTGTTTTGCATTTGCTCAGGGCGCGCTTTGTGATTGGAGCAGATTTTTCGACTGCGGAGCAGACCAAGAAATGTTCAGATGGCTATAAAACGCCGAAAAGAGAACATTATAAAATTGTTTTTGCTCTGTATATAAACTTTTACAGTGCAGTTACAATTCGTGTAAAAAAGTATGAAAACTTATGTGAGCAAAGGGTCGGTGCCAGCTGAGCTGGCACCCAGCTGGCACGGTGCCAGCTAATTCAGAAAAAAGTACAGCACAGCTTTCATTCACATAATTTTCCATACATTTTTGGGCCGTACTTCGAGTAGCCCAACGCGCATGCACACACCAAATTTGGTGTCATATGATTGCATTTCGGTTATAAAAAAGGCTTTTGTTTGTCCCAGAAACACGCCGCTGGCGACTTGCAGGCGGCGTGCCCCTGGCATTCTAGCAAACAGCGGCATCTAACCCGCAAAAACGATATCCCCTTTGCTTTCCGCCCCAAAAACGATATCCAGCTTGACCCGGTGCCAGCTGTGCCGAGCCCTGGCTTTGATGTCAACGAATTTGCGTTTAAAGGCAGTGCGTCGGCAGAATGAGACCCGTGGCAAAACAAGGTCACAGTGTAGCAGCCCCCATAATGGAACCTATGGGCCAAAGTTCGATCTTTCTCTGCCACTTCTAACCCCCGAAATTTCAAAGCGAAAGCAGCGCTCATCTCCTGTCCTCTCCGAACCCGCCCACCCCATAGACAGTGAACGCGGAGTCGGTCACGGCCAAGACGCAGAGTCGTTGCGGGACCTCATGCTTACAGCATTGCGGCTGGCGCTCTGACCGTGGAAGTCACTCGTCCATGAGGTGGGCGGGTCCGGAGAGGACAGGAGATGAGCGCTGCCTTCTTTTTGAAATTTTGGGGGTTAGAAGTGGCAGAGAAAGATCGAACTTTGGCCCATAGGTTCCATTATGGGGGCTCCTACCCTGTGACCTTCTTTTGCCACGGATCTCATTCTGCCGACGCACTGCCTTTGAGTGGCTTTATTTGGGGGCATTTCTGCATGGAGTTCTTTGCCGTCCGCTATAATATTCACCTGTAGGAACACGTCACAGCAGAACTGCGGCATTTAAAAGTTAGACATTGGGATGGAACGCAAACATTTCTACACTGAGAGTTTCCGAATCTCTCGAAGTCATTGAGAAATCATCCATCAGCTGCTCAGGAAGTTGATAAGCTTTCCTCTACATTCAGATAAAGGTATCAAGTTTGCGCATAGATGTAGTTGTTGGAATTGTGGTTTCAGCTAAATCATCACGGGGAAACCTTTGTAACAAAACTGCTACTTATCTTGCAAGAGACGTTTATGGTTGAATTGAGATTTACTTTCTCCTTCTTGTGCACGACGCAACCCTCTGTGTAATTATTTTGGATAAACTATCCTCTTCGGGTAAGGTTGCAGGAAAAAGTTATAATATCTACCAGTGCGTCACCTCTGCTTCGCAGAGGTTCGCACTGGCTCTACTATCTATGTGCCTTATTCATTCTCGTAAAATCGTGGCAGTGGAACTCACCGCACTATGCCGACTACCACGAATAAAATGTGAACAACCACTCATTTAGAAAATCTTTTCACGTGAGATCGGTGATTTCGAGTGGATGAAACTTTTCGCAGGAAGACAAACGCAAATTTGAATAGGTTTTTGGATTTGTCATGGCTTGGTAGTCGCCATAAAGGTAATGATAACCGTGAGCTTCATCTCTGTGCGAAAACCTTCTCAAACGCTTGGCTAGAACCTTGGCAAGTTGACCATTTACACAACCAATTCATTTTGGCGCCGCTTTCGTTATGTAGTAAATTTTCGACCACTTTTCTGGCTAAACTCCATCGCTTGCACATTTGCTTACCAAACTCATCCACGACTCTGCAAAAAGTGGTGATACGCACCGACTTTTGCGGTACAGAAGCCAGGTGGACCCGTTTGGCGCGCAAATTCTGAGGGATCCACTCAACGAATCTACTCGTGCTTTTGCATGTTGGACTTTCACGAAGGTAGCATGCGCTATACAAAATTTGTTCTTTAGAACGTTGGCTGGAACACGCTCCACGAATTTCGTAACAGACAGACACACACACAAAGTCACGTAAACATCCTTAGCCGGTTATTATCATGACTTATAATAACGGGCTAAGGGTTGTTTACCGTCGAGTCATTTCTAACTTAATATGTGTAGTGCACACTAAGCATGCTGACTGACGAGCTGCAAAACTAGAACCGGCTCATTTGCAGTGATTTCTCCTTGTTCCCTTGTCTCTTTTGTTTTTGTTGATCATATGTTAGTCAATAGAACACATTTCTACATTTTGTCAGGCTAGAAAATGCTTAACTGAAAAGTTACCAGTGAGGGTGCCGTCGCTAATAGTGTTTAGTGTGCATTCTCACATATTAAGTTAGAAATGACTCGAGGTTACGTCTTTTTGTGTGTCTGTGTGTCTGTCCGTTGAAATTCGTAGAACATGTTCCAGCCAACCTCGTGAGCCCAAATTTTGCACGGCGCATGCTAGCAGCATGAAAGTCCAATATACAAAAGCGCGAGCAAATCCGTCGAGTGGATCCGTTAAAAATTGCGCGCCAAACGGGTCCACCTGGCTTCTGTACCGCAAAATTCGGTCCGTATCAGCACTTTTTGCAGAGTCGTGGATGAGTTTGGTAAGCAAATGTGCAAGCGATGGAGTTTAACCAGAAAAGTGGTCGAAAATTTACTACATAACGAAAGCGGCGCCAAAATGAATTGGTTGTGTAAATGGTCAACTTGCCAAGGTTCTAGCCAAGCGTTTGAGAAGGTTTTCGCACAGAGATGAAGCTCACGGTTATCATTACCTTTATGGCGACTACCAAGCCATGACAAATCCAAAAACCTATTCAAATTTGCGTTTGTCTTCCTGCGAAAAGTTTCATCCACTCGAAATCATCGATCTCACGTGAAAAGACTTTCTAAATGAATGGTTGTTTACATTTTATTCGTGGTAGTCGGCATAGCGCGGTGAGTTCCAGTGCCACGATTTTACGAGAATGAGTAAGGCACATAGATAGTAGAGCCAGTGCGAACCTCTGCGAAGCAGAGGTGACGCACTGGTAAGTCATGATTCTCTCTAAACGCAATCTGGCAAGAAAGCTATCGCAAAGTATGTTTCCTCAAGTTTCGTTGCAAATAACCAAATTTTTTTCTTGCAAAAATGCATAGAATTATTGAACTGTAATCAAAGTACATGCGACGACTATCCGATCATGGTATATGATACTTGTAAACGTCTACTCTTGCGGGCAAGGAAGTATCACAACATACCGCTTCACAACAACAACCACTTCCCCACTCACTTGGAACGAAAACTTATCATGCAGAAAGAAAAATGTTACTTTATCACCAAGAATTTATAGACGTCCTTGTCATAAAAAAAGAATGTGTAAGGACTAGGTTGGGCAAGGCATCTCACCCCATCGTATCTGTATCCTACTAGCAAGTGATCTAGTGAGACATATAGCACACAATCATGAATCCATCCGCTCAATGTGTCTATCTCCCATCCGCTCATTTTGTCGCATATCGCAAGTCCCTACATGAAAACATGCCTCAGCTTATTAAAGGACGCAAGTTACGGGTACGTTATTTTGAGCATTTAACTTTTCCCCCTCCTCCAGTTCATGCGCTAAGTCTTGTTTTCTCTTCCGAGTCTATAAGGCACCCGCCATAGTTAATCTATCCGCTTGATCCTCTTCGTGCAAATGCGCGCACAAAGCAGTTTGTCATTTGGCGTCGCGTAGAAGAGAGCAATTTTGTATGGATCCGTTGTACGCGACGCCAAATGAAAATTAGTGACGCGCGCATTGCAGGAAGCGGATCAAGTGGATCAAGTATGGCGGGTGCCTAAGGCCGATGCATCAAGATCCCCGCCAGGATGGGGACCGTAGCTCAAAAGAAAAGTAGACGCCAGACTAACCGATTGCCTGCTACAGCAGGACGCGGCGCAACTACTAAGCTGATTCATTTGGCGTCATGGTGAACGGAAATCTTCGCAACACACAGTTTTGCAGAGGTGATAAAAAAAACTTTCGCAGAATGAGAGTATGATAAAAAGACCTTTACCAATGAAAGTTTTTTTTTTATAGCGGAATTGCGCGCGCCGACTTTTTTCCCTACAACATGACAGCAATTGACAGTAACTGCACCGCGTCTGCTGAAGCAGGGCAGTCTGGCGCCTACCTAAGGTTAATAACCTGAAGCTCAGGATATCTGTATTTCTATCCATTCCTGATTATTCCTACTACCCTTCACTATAGGTATACCGAAAGGGAGCGCATTATTGTACACGTCGCGTTTTTCAGCTCCTTGTATGACCTACGAGTGGCTAGCAAATGGGTGATAGATACATGTGTGGTGGCTAGCTTAGAATATAACTCTTTGAGAGCGCCAATTTTGAAAAGGTTCTAGCATAGAACAGTTTTGGGCCTTCATAAAGAAAGTAGGTCACGCTCGATGTACCACACAAAATAAAAGCAGATAAACATGAAAACCATTTGTTTCCCTTTCCAGAATCCCCGCAAGATCATGGTTAACTACTCAAGACTCGCATTAAAACTCCCTAAACTTGGCTTCCCATCATTTCTGTGGATGAGGAGATCATTCAAGACTACTACACGAAACTCAATTTTTAGTCACAAAGTCCAGCTGGAGTAATCTAGGCACCACCACGGATGGAACTGAGTGCTCGCAAGCTTTGCCAGGTTGGGTGCTATCGCTTAACCCCTCCCTCATGATTGATCTATGGCACCCGCCATACTTGATCCACTTGATCCGCTTCGTCATTGGTCGATTCAGTGAATTGAGCAATAGCGAAGCGGTTGCCGTCTTGATCCGCTTGATCCACTTCATCCTTCACTATTGGTCAGTTCACTGAATTGACCAATGATGAAGCGGATCAAGCGGATCAAGTGGATTGAGCGGATCAAATGTGGCGGGTGCCTATGCTAACAAACATGTAAGCCGAGAACCACGATAATTCAGATATGATGCCCGTACCTGCATCCACTTCCATAGCAACGTCCGAAGTTGAGGCAATAGACGAAACCAGAAGGAAGATTAGGTCGTGTATAGCGTTTTTGTAAGAATCTGTAACTGCAGAAATGTGATATACACAGTGCTATAGAGTAGTGCCACTCAAACTCGGCGTCCACGCTATGCACATAGATTCCTCACATGGAAGATGCCCACATTTGATTGACACTGCCCCAACACTAGGGATTTCAATGTAGATAGAGATGTCATGTGGAAGGATAATATTGTTAACAGTCTTCTTCGGGACACCAAGCAGTACAGACTACGCATCTTCGCAAATTAGGGTGTATACTGATATCAGCGCAGGCAAAGTTGGTAGCAGTCTGAGGTGGTGTCATGGTTCGTATTCGGGTTTAAACAAAATCATCGCCTCACGCGATAGGCACCCGCCATACTTGGACCTCATCCGCTTGATCCGCTTCGTGCAAAACGCGTAGGTAAAAAGGAATTTCGTTTGGTTAAGCAAATTCGCTGTACGCGACGCCAAATGACAGACTGCTGAGTGCGCGCGTTTTGCAAGCGGATCAAGTGGATTAAGCGGATCAAGAGGATCAAAGTATGGCGGGTGCCATAGCAGCCGTAATACTCGCGAAATTTTACGTGCAGGCTCCACATGCTTACGCTGTGCTGCAAGTTATCTCGCTAGAACGCCAAATACAAGCAATTAGAACACCGCTCCTATTCAACAAGCACTAACGGAGACCAGTTATAAAATAATGCTGGAAAATTCTTCTTGTTACCTCTTCGATCGTCATTACGTTAATTCGGGGATTGCTGCGTTTCATTTCATTAAAAATAGTAGGGCGTTTGAATAAACGAATACCCTTTTTCAGAGCTTCTTCATGCACTCCATAGGACCTAGCGGGCTGAAGATTAGAAAACAAAGAAGAAAAGCAAAAATTCTGTGTACATTTCTAGATTTCCCTCCACAAAAATTAGAAAGTGAATCAGTTTCAAGAGGCTTTACCTGAACTCAAAAGCTCTGTATCCGTGAGCCTTTTGGCGCATTCATCTGTGAGAGATGTCTGCAACGCAAATTCCGGAGCAACATTTTCACCAACGCCGAGTACACGCAAAACAAGACTTCTTATGCGTTCTGACTTGAAGCGAGCGGCATCCTGAAAGTAGATATGTCAATCCGGACTAGATCGGTAAGCCGCGCTAAGTGCGCAAGCGACTGCAACCTCAAAGGGACAATAGTGAACAAGAACATTACGACTGATTGGGTTACATTGAAATCATACAGTATGGTAGATCCCGCTTGAAAGCACTGTCCACTCCAAATCAGAGGTCTTGAGCTTTTGGTAGCATACGATAGTAGGACACCCTGTCAAGCCAATGCCCAAGTCGCGGCTCAAAATGTCGCTCCGGAAGCAAAGAGTATCGCTCCAGCAAAGGCACGGGGGGGGGGATGTGAGCATGCTGATTACTAACACAGCGAAAATAGGGAATTGCATGTAGAAATGGGCACAGGGAAAGATTGTAGGGAAGGGAATGGAATTTTATCAAAGTGTTTTGACAGGGCCGGGCGAAGCCGGGTAAGCCAGCTAGTATATATATATTTATTTATTTATTTATTTATTTATTTATATTTATATACAGTGACCGCCAAAAAGTTGCGGACAAGCCTCCTTCCCTTTTTCATCGCTCTATTTCAGAAGGAAAACAAGGATAAAAAATGTACTGATTGAATGAGGTGATAGAGCTCTTCAAGATCTACAATCTACACTTTGCGTTTTTCGAAAAACATGTATTCTAAAAATTTTAAAAAACTTTTTCTAAAAAAAGTCCGAAAATGGCCGCGTCACAATGTCGCGGACAATAATTCTTCGAACACAAAAATTTTCTTTTGAGTCCTATTCTGAAGCTGAAACACAAGTAATCCAAACGGGTAAGCATACTTCTATACAGAGCTCGTCAAGAACTACACACTGGTTATGGTTTCTTCCCAAAAAACACAAGCTTGAGTTTTATTTTGCTTTTTTTTAAAAAATAACTTCTAATTCTCCTTTTTAAGCCAAGTTTCTTCACATGGAAACCTATTCATGACATTCCAACAACGCTGTTCGGATAAAGTAGATGCTCTTTACCATTCTCCATGCATCTGACGTGTGCTGATGAGTTTCTTTGCTGAAAATGGCTCTTGGCAGTGCTTGCACATGACCCCACCTGCACCTCACCACTGACTTGTACCGCTTTGCAGGCTTGTAACTCGGCCTGCAGTCAATGTGTGAGCCTGCGATTAGGCTCATTCGAAAGATCGAGACTTCCTCTACACGATGGTATGTAAAAGAGATGGGTATAAGAAACAGCGGAGATTTGGCGGATGGGGTGGAAAAACGCGGCCTCAGTGGTGGTTGGGGTGAAGGCTCTTATCAACACCAAAACAGTTCTAGAGCTTCAAAATGGATCTATTACAAGAACATTGACAGTTTCAAGCTTCCAGGATGGAACTGGTAGCGAAAGAAGCTCTATTCAACTTTAGCTGGATATCCTCACCCTACCACTGAGGCCGCGTTTTTCCACCCCATCCGCCAAATCTCCGCTGTTTCTTATACCCATCTCTTTTACATACCATCGTGTAGAGGAAGTCTCGATCTTTCGAATGAGCCTAATCGCAGGCTCACACATTGACTGCAGGCCGAGTTACAAGCCTGCAAAACGGTACAAGTCAGTGGTGAGGTGCAGGTGGGGTCATGTGCAAGCACTGCCAAGAGCCATTTTCAGCAAAGAAACTCATCAGCACACGTCAGATGCATGGAGAATGGTAAAGAGCATCTACTTTATCCGAACAGCGTTGTTGGAATGTCATGAATAGGTTTCCATGTGAAGAAACTTGGCTTAAAAAGGAGAATTAGAAGTTATTTTTTAAAAAAAAGCAAAATAAAACTCAAGCTTGTGTTTTTTGGGAAGCAACCATAACCAGTGTGTAGTTCTTGACGAGCTCTGTATAGAAGTATGCTTACCCGTTTGGATTACTTGTGTTTCAGCTTCAGAATAGGACTCAAAAGAAAATTTTTGTGTTCGAAGAATTATTGTCCGCGACATTGTGACGCGGCCATTTTCGGACTTTTTTTAGAAAAAGTTTTTTAAAATTTTTAGAATACATGTTTTTCGAAAAAAGCAAAGTGTAGATTGTAGATCTTGAAGAGCTCTATCACCTAATGCAATCAGTACATTTTTTTATCCTTTTTTCCTTCTGAAATAGAGCGATGAAAAAGGGAGGGAGGCTTGTCCGCAACTTTTTGGCGGTCACTGTACGTGCATACGGGGCTAATTATAAGATGTCGAAATTCCGAAGAAAACAACTATATTGAGTTGCAAACAGCACCACGATGACTTCACAGACTACATAACAGCTGACAAAAATGACGTACACTATTACGCATACTCACCGAATCTTGAGCATCAATGACTCCGAAGCTATTATTCTTCAAGTATAACTCATTGATGTCCATTGCCTCCGTATTTTCATTATCGGGCATTGACCGGTTCTGGAATAAGCAACTACGAAAATTTTGAACACCACAATACATCTTATGAGGGGCTTTGCAGGTAATACAAGGGTGAGACAAGAGAAAATTCTCCAACAAAACAGCATGATGGAGCGGAGGGCAGAAAAGCGCTGTTGAGGAAAACCACGGAGACTTCTTCCATACACACACTTGCTGAAAAAAAACCTCATGTTGCACCCCTATGTCATGCAGGTGCGAAGCTGCGACGCAGTTTTGCAGAACAATCTGATCGTTTCGAGAGTTCCAAGAAGACATGATAATTTGGACGCAGTAGATTTGCGTACTACTTTTACATCAACAAACCCTCTAGCAGAGGAAATTTCGCTTACAAGAAAGATGACTGGCCATGGTAACAACATATGAATATTGTCTTGTGACCGAATGGAATTTAGACTACTGTGGGTATGCTTTTCTGCACCAGCACCTGTCCCGTTGCATGCATTCACTGCATCTTTGTGGACTAGCTTGATGATTGTTCTTCTGTTAAGACCATTTTAGATTTCTGCAGAACAGTGGTTCCCTTTACACTGATTTCAGCGATGCTTCTCACCTTCTCTAGGTTGTACTATGCTGTGTTATTACATCTGATAAAACTCATTCCTTGCTCTTTTGCCAGCATAGCGTCAGAGCACCGGTGTTGAAACATATGTGTGCAAAGTTTGGCACTGGTTATTCGCACACAAAAATTGTATAAATCATACACTAACAATTCACCAACATTTAAAAGGACCTCCACCCAAATCGCGGTCGATGAGATTTTGATGCCGGGCCCCCAACTGTATACTTATCCAACTCGCGCTGGCAAAAGTTGCTTTCGAAGCGAGAAAATTGCTTCGAAAATCGCTCAAATAACAGATTCGCCACGTTGGCTCCGAATTTTTGGATTTAACATTCTTTATAGACGTTTGCCCAGAAAAGGAGCTTTCGCTGAAAAAACAAGAAGTGGGACTTTTCTACACTATCTTCTTAACACGAAAATTTTTCCTCGTTTACTTAAGACTTTGCCGACCATGCAACGATGCCTCTCTATTCTCAAAAGTCTCAGTTAAAAATGACCTCATCAACGATATCTACTGAATACTGCTCGATTATGTTGGACGGCAAGGTCGGAGTTAAGCCGGAAAAGTTCAAACCTTATCAGGGCAGCTTTGCGATGAGTAGGCGATGCGATGGCAAATAAGAAAGACTGACAAGAATGCCTGGAAAGTGGTTCCCTACTTACTATATAGTTTGAGCATGCAAGTGGTTTCTCCGAAAAACTCCTCAAGGATCTCCCGTACAAAAGTTGGACGGCATCGTCCCGCCCATCCGTGCTTGCCCAGCCAATCATCGTCCCGAAGAAATCGCTTTGCGGGTTGTGAAGACCGCGTACTTCGTGGTTTCCGACTTAATATTCGGAATCAGGGGTATGAGAAGGCCATGGTCGAGAAAAAATGGAGGTCGAAGTTTTGGGTGGACGGTGCGTTTAAAGGCAGCGTCCAGGCAAATCTGGACATATGGGGATCTCACGTGGATAGTGACTTCGAGGCCCTAACTAAGACACTGCCCAACCTGTAGCTGTGGTAGTGCTCTAATGGCTGAGATATTCCTCTCGAAACTAAACTATGAACCTCCTAAATATTATTTACTAGCTAGTTTTCCCGGTCTCGCCCGGGTCTCGGAGATTCAGCTGATCCGGCACGGAATCGTTTGCTCACTTGGAGCATGAAAAGTAGAATGAGAGTAGAGGAGGGTTCCTGTAATGAAGTGACTCACCCACTATAGGCTCGTCTCAAATCACCAGAAGTTTTCTCTCGCAAAAATGGAATGAACTCTACTTCCACTGTTTACAGGAAATCATGGACATGACTCGTTAGCGAATGCTGAGAACTCTTTTCATGCCAAAAAATCAATAAATCGATGGGGGATCCCAGAGAATCGCCGCAAAAAGTAGCTCTAGACCACCACCAGAATCGAAAACATATGTGTGCAAAGTTTCAGCTGGATTGGTTGTGGCGCACGTTTCCATAACGAACGAACAACTAAACGAACACACTTGCAAAGTTTGAGTTTTGATATAACCATAGATTTCTGCACCACGCTTTTTCCATAAGTTCGCGTGCTTTACCCTCTCACCTCCAAATTTTCTGCTCCGTCTCAAGAGGATAAGGGGGTGGTCTTTTTTTCAATGTGAGGGGAAGGTGAACAAAAGCTTTCTATCACATCTGTGGTTCTATACAACTAGTACTCATCCTGTCGCATCTTAGTCTCCAGCGTCTGGTTCATAACGAAATATAAAAACTGAACAAACATTCAGGGAATCATGAGTCATGACGACGAACCTCCTCTTGTAGCCACTTATAAAACTCAGCGTCCCCCATGGATTGGATTGTGGAGCACTCGAGAGTAGTGAGTTGATCATTTTGCTGACTTACTATAAGATATACATTAGCAGTATTCAGTAAGGGGCGACCGGATTGGTGGAAGGAAGCAGGTGTCCAGGACGAGGTCGTCCGAAGTGGTCGACTACGTATGTTGCGCCACAGGTACAAAGAAGAAGATCCAGTATTTTTTGACCCGAAGGTAATGCTTGCTGAAAAAAACTCGGCATTGCATTTTTAACTTGGAGGAAGTATGGCAGAACTTCAGGTCCCTGATGGAACTTCAGTGACTGGACCGCTGGGGCTAGATTCGAAGTATCATCATGACATCACTATAAAAGCCGACCAACCAGGACCACTGAAAGAATTCCAGGATAAGGTAGGCTATCTTGACTTGTTCGCTTCATCATTTGCAGTTTTGCAGGTATGGAAAGGCTCCCATCAATACAAAGCAATAGCTGAAAAATTTGATATCAGCAAGGAACACCCTGGATTTGATGTAAACCCTTCTCTGAACGACTTGCTTAATAGTGGGTATTTTCAGATGTACTCTGCAACAATATATATTTGTTTAAGTTCCGAAATGGCATCTCGGCCGCAACGCTTTCGTACCCAACTCGTGGTATCACTATGGTCCGCGCTTCTTCGACAAGCCATTAAATGAAGCGACTATCGAAAAGGGCTTGGCCTGCGCCAAGTATGCTGCTTTGTTGAGTGAGTCACATGTTCTCTTCTAACTTTGCATGTAATTTTCCATGAGTCTGCTAAGTATACTAGCAAGAAATATGCAGTAGTACATGAATCTTGATTCTGGATCACATCTCAGAGATGTTCGCTGAAGCGCCATCTGAACGTGGAGCGGTCTAGCCATCTTTCCATGCATAATGAGCAGACACGCGATAGTGGGAGCCGATTCTCCCCTGGAACTTGGAGTCTCTGCTTGCACAGAGACTCCACGCTCCTGCGGCCTGCTGTAATACAATTTAAGTCTGTTCATATGCACCGTTTGTGACTTATTGTTGAGCGGACTTTTTATGGTGACATTGGGACGGCACATGGAGACAATCACAAATGGGCCTTTCAATTGGAGCAAAAATTTGGGGCGCACTGTGTCGTCATGCAACAATACAAGATCCCCATGGGAAAGGTCCTTACTGTATACCTTCTTGTGGTAGTCGTATCCAGCTTTGTAGTCAGCTGTTTTCGCTGCTATGCTGGATCCCACTTCCACTATCGTAGTCTGCAAGGCTGTCGCGAACTGGCCTGCGAAGTTATCTGGCAAAAGTAAGAGTAGAAAGTAATTTGTGAACAACGTCCATCCATGTGACTGGAAGTCTACCATAAATTACGAAGAACGGACTGTACCCCGTCGTATCGTTTTTGCTACAATTGTAAGCAAAAGCGATGGGTTGCAGGAATTTCGTCCACGAGTCTCTGGCTTTTGAGTAGTAGACTGTGAGAGAATCCGTAACAACTTTTACCATTTTTTCAACCTGGCCATTCGCCTTGTGGTTGTAGCTTGTGGTAAAGTTGCTCTCAATTCCCAGAGTTTTCTTAACCTGAGTGAAAATTTCGCTCCCTCTGTCGCTAACGATCGTTGGGGATCCCGTGCTTGGAGGTCACATCATTGATTAGCGCTTTTACTACTAGATCAGCAGTTTGATTTGTCAAAGGCGTACAGATAACATACTTACTAAAAGCGCAGACCGTAATAGCTATGAATCTGCTATCATCAACACATTGTGGCAATGGTCCTATTACATCAATGGGATACGCTCACGCTGAGGAATGGGAAAAGTCCCCAGTTCCTCGCGAATGGTATTTCCTGCTGGTGTTTTCACCCTTTGACCGGCTGCGCAAGATCTAATGTAATTTGCGATATCCTGATGCATGTTTGGCCAGTAGTACTTATCCGAGACCTTTGTGTACGTTTTCCGAATTCCCAGGTGGGAACCTAGTGAAGGATTATCATGAAGAAGTCTTACGATCTGTTTTTGAAGATCAGGGTCGGGTATGACAAGTTTTGGTCTTTCGTGGGCCTTATATTACAGTGCACCATTGAAAATGGAATATTTGTCTAATGAACTCAAAAACTGCTGTTTAGGGTTTCCAGCATTCCCTGTTAAGAAGGTGATCAAACTTCCGAAGTAAGAATTTTGTTGACTTTCCCTGATGGTATCTAAGCTAGAAATTGAATCGGGAGTAGTAGAAATGTTCATTACTACCGGATAACGGTCAAAAAGTCGCAAAACTTGTTATGTTTACTCGGTTGATATTCAGTTTTCAGATTGTAAGCTTGTATCATGATTTGGTATTTTGCTAAACGTTCAACAAGGTCTGATCTGTACAGTAGTGACTTTAACGGAGCATGATCTTATATATAAAGCTGAATGTCTGTTTGTATGTATGTATGTATGTATGTATGTATGTCTGTATGTCTGTCTGTGTGTACGTATGTTCCGAATAGAAAATTCCATTTCTGAACCGATCCGGACCAAACTTGGCACACATACACTACGGGCCCCGGCGGGTGTCATAGGCTACTTTTCGTCATCGATCGATATCGATTTTATCGATTTTTATCGATTTTTTTGCTGAGTTCACCTACGGGGCTGGGAGTTGGCACAGGGGGGTAATCGAGCATGGGGATTCCGAATACAATATTGGTTTTCAGGATTATCGATTACTTTTATCGATTTTATCGATTTTTTTTGCAAAGTTTGAGCTACGGGGCTGGGAGTTGGCACAGGGGGGTAATCGAGCATGGGGATTCCGAATACAATATTGGTTTTCAGGATTATCGATTACTTTTATCGATTTTATCGATTTTTTTTGCAAAGTTTGAGCTACGGGGCTGGGAGTTCGCACAGGGGGGTAATCGAGCATGGGGATTCCGAATACAATATTGGTTTTCAGGATTATCGATTACTTTTATCGATTTTATCGATTTTTTTGCAAAGTTTGAGCTAGGGGGCTGGGAGTTGGTACAGGGGGGTAATCGAGCATGCTGATCATCCCCAAGGGGGGTGATCAGCATGCTCGAACACCCCTGTGCCAAATTCCAGCCCCCTAGCTCAAATTTTCAAAAAATCGATAAAATCGATAAAAGTAATGGACGATCTTGAAAACTAATATTGTATTCGTAATCTGCATGCTCGATTACCCTCTGTGCAAACTCCCAGCCCCGCAGGTCAAACTTTGCAAAAAAATCGATAAATCGATAAAAGTAATGGACGATCCTGAAAACTAATATTGTATTCGGAATCCCCATGCTCACTTCCCCCCTGTGCCAACTCCTAGCCCTGTAGGTGAACTCTGCCAAAAAATCGATAAAATCAATAAAAGCAATCGATAATTCTGAAAACTAATATTGTATTCGGAATCCCCATGCTCACTTCCCCCCTGTGCCAACTCCTAGCCCTGTAGGTGAACTCTGCCAAAAGATCGATAAAAATCGGTAAAATCGACATCGATCGATAACGAAAAGTGGACTGTGACACCCGCCGGGGCCCGAAGTGTATGTGTGCCAAGTTTGGTCCGGATACGGCGGAGCCGGGTAAGCCAGCTAGTCAGTAATAAGTGTTACAGAGGCATTGCAACATATGGGTAAAAATGTTTGAGCGCAAAGACTATGGCAAGCGCCTCAAGCTCTATGATTGAGTAATTTTGCTCATGCTTATTCAGCGGGCGACTACAGTACGCAATTGGATGCTCATTTAGCGTTTGCGGATTTGCTGCAGTAAACACGCTCCTAGACCCGTAGTCGAAGCATCCGTGTGATAATGTACGGTTTGCCTATTATAGGAGATGCAAGAGTTGGAGCTGTAGTGAGCGCCCTTTTTCAAGGAAACGAATGCATTTTCGTGAAGATTAGTCCATTGGAACGGAACATTCTTCATGAGAAGAGCATTCAAAGGAGCGGCAACATACGAAAAGCGTGGTATGAATCTGCGAAAGTACGAAGCTGCGCCCAAAAAAGACTTGACAGCTTTAGCATCCTGAGGTCTAGGTATCTTGGTGAGTTGTGTTCCGCTCTTACTTATGGGAACTCCCAAGTATGGAACTTCTTCTTGCATAAAAGAGCATTTTTCCGCTGTGAGCTTCATGCCAAAATTTGCAATGCGTTGCAAAACTTCTTCTAGATCACGAAAATGGTCACCTATGGAATGACTAGCGATAATGATATCATCCAATTAGACGAAACAACAAACTTTCAATTCTCTTGCCACGCTGTTTGCGACTCTTTGGAAAGTACTGGGGGCACCCTTCAAACCTTGTGCCATTACAGTGAAATGAAAAAGACCCAAAAATGAGGAAAATGTCGCTCTTTGTGTTTTTCTTCAAGAGGGATTTGAAATAAAAAACCACTCTGAAGTCCAGAATACTGTAAACTTCTTTACTGCTCGCTAAATCAATGATGGCTTAAATGCGGTACGCAGTAGGTTTCATTTTCAGTTATAGTTAATTTGGCGATAGTCTACTGTAAAACGCTACTGATTAGTTGAAGGCTTTTTCACTAAAACAAGGGGTGAAGCGAATTTAATAGTGCTCGGCTCTATCATACGCATGCGGAGCATTTCCTCAATTTGTCCTTTGATTTCTCGACGCTTTACAAAGGTGCCCTGTAGGGACGCTGTTTTGGAGCTGTTGCATGCAGAACAAACTTGATTTTGTGAGAAATAGGACATGTGTATCTCCCTAAATTTCCATCCGATCCCACAAACCACTTTTGATACTTTCCAAGAAGATTATTAAATTGGAGAGATTGCTGACTATTAAGTAAACTGCGGTTTATTTTGACATGTTCCATAAGAGAGTATTGTCAGCTTGATCGGAAAAGTAGGAAGATTTGCAGCTATGTCTGCCTCAGGTGAGGTGTAATGGACTGGATTTTGATATCTATTAGAATTAGTAGAATTTGAAGGATGAACTTCAAAAACAGCTGGCGATTGTTGGTCCGGATCGGTTCAGAAGTGGAATTTTCTATTAGGAACATACGTACAGACAGACATACATACAGACATACAGACAGACAAACAGACATTCAGCTATATAAGATGGTGACTTTCAAAAATCTCGCGATCCATTCTCGAGGGGGGAGGGGGATGGGGAGAGGGGGCTCCCCTCCTCCTCCGCTCTGTCCACCACTGATCCTGCTTGGTTACATAATCAGTTTTGATCTAAAACATTTTTAGTGCTTCCTTACACTATGCTTGAAATACGTACGACCGCGTCAGTGCCTGTTCAAAAATTTTCCCCGAGAACTTACATGCAAAGGTATCTCCAGTTAATGCCGAAACCAGCTATGGTGGCTTTCACCTGGGGATTCGCGCTTTCTACTGCAGCTGCTATTCGTAAAAAGGTAATCTTATTGTTTCTACTTACTGTGATAACCTATCATGGTTGTTTGCAATCAACTGTTTCGCTTCTAGGATGACGTGAAAAATCATTTATATGCCAGTGCAGCCGTGGGAGCGGTCATATCGGCTATGAGTAAGAGTCGCTCAATTTATTCTTTTGTAGCGGCAGAACTTGAGGCTATCATTCTGTCACGACTTTACAGGAAACAACTTTGCGTCGGGAATAAGCATGGGACTGTTTACACTAGTTCTCGGGACTTTCTGGCAGTATGCTCGTGTATCGGAGGATGGCATGATGGGAATGGTCGTCCAGCCAACTAGCGCTGGAATCTGGGGAGGTCCACTCATATGGAGAGCATTCCAGTGGGGCGATAAGGAGGTTCCACATGAGCGTTATTAGCGTGACGGCTCATGATCTATAGTATAGTCAATTTAGCGGATGAACAGAGAGCAGATTAGCCTAACTTGAAGACTTTATGATTTTTTGTGGTGTCGTTGCCAATGAAGCTGTCCTACAAGTTTACTTTGTTCGCTCTTGATCAAATGTACGCTTTTGACGGTGAGTTTGAAATGAGCACTCCTAGAGTTTTGTCACCCATGTGCTCCCCCGTTCAGCTCAAGCGCAACGCTAGAACCCCGTGCCGCGTTACACAGATTTAGCAGTCGTTTCAAATTTTAGCTACACTCCCACCGCATTTATTAAATCGTCACATGAGTTTTGCAATTTTTCCCGTAAGTTTTCTCTTCTCGGATTTAGCGCTCTCATTTTTTGAGCATCAAATGCATCGAGCCGAAATTATTCATGAATAATTTCTCAAATCAAATTGCTCAGATAAGTCTCGAATCACCGTGATTGGCGGCTATTCTCTGTCTTCTAACGCGCGTGAGGTGCTAAAGTTGGGTCCTAGTTTTTCACCCTCTCAGCCCGTCTCGACTAGAACATTGCGAAAGATTACTTGTAGCCTAAACGAGCTTCAAAACAGTCTACGTAAAAGAGCAGCCTTAGAAAGTCAAGCCGTGATCCAAACAGTAGCAAGTGCGCGTCTAGCAATACCATTCCCAAGTGCATTTTACAAACAACAAAATGCCAATCCCAAAACCGATATACCCTTTCGTCTTTTCACAGACGAAGTGTTCAAAACGTTAGCACGGGTACGGCAACGGAAAATGCAGTCTAACCTCACTTTAGCTCAGAAACAGGGCATACAACAAATTCAGCAGTTAGTTAGATCGAGGCAAATACGACTTTCAATCAGCGATAAGGGAGGCGAGTTCGTGGTAATCCCACAACAACTCGATGCTGCGATTACAGAAAGACACCTCCAAGACACATCGCTATATCAGCCTGAACTGTTAAGATGTTCAAAAACAATATAGAAAACTTAACAGAGAGTGGGTATCCATAGCGAAAACTGCCAACTTACCGCGCGATATCATTGCTCGTTTGAAAATTGAACTGCCTACCTGTCCTGTGCTATATTTGCTAATCAAAACTCACAAGCTCCAGTCTGATAGGGAATTGGCCTCGAACGATCCCTCCACATTCAAGGTACGACCCATAATAAGCGGTGTAGGGGGGCCTACGGATAGAATAGGGTGGTTCATCAATACCATACTCGTTCAACTACTCAGATTCATCCCATCACATCTAGCCAATACGCAAATGTTTTTAGACCGACTACGCGAAACACGTATCAATAGTAAATGCATCGTGGAATCATTTGACGTGAATGCTCTCTACACAAATGTGAGCAATGAATCCGCGATGCAAGCTATATGCGAATTGCTAATATGCCATGAAAAATCCCTGAACCTTCACGGATTATCCATATCACAAATCATGGCTCTATTGAAAGCGTGTTTAGAATGTAATACTTTTAGATGGTCTGGGAGCTACTTTATGCAAATACGAGGACTAGCAATGGGACAACGCTTAGCACCGGCACTCGCGACAGCATTCATGACCAAAATAGAAGCGCCTGTTCTGGAACACCGTCCCTTACTCTACTGTAGATATATTGATGATTGCTTTGTAATTTGCGCGACACAAGCAGAGCTTGATGAATGCTTTGAATTACTCAATAAGCAATCAGAGAATATAAAACTGACGAGAGAGAAGCCGGAAAACGATTGGTTACCGTTTCTAAACGTGCAAGTGAACATCACCACGGGTATGCACGTGACGAAGTGGTATCGTAAACCGAGCAACAAGAATATCCTGATTCATTTTCAATCCGCTCACCTACCTTGGACAAAAAGAGCTGTTATTAAGAATATGTTCCGAACAGCTTCGCAGGTGTGTAGTGGAGAGAAAGAAAGAAAATAATCACTCGAGCTTGCGCGCCAAATAGCTTCCTCGAATGGGTACGGGAACTTCACAGGTACAACGAAGCACGGAAAGAGTTTGCGAGACCGACCCAACGAAAAGATCCCTTTTTACGTCCCGTTCATTTCCACCGAGATAAGTACAGCAATGCGCAGAAGCCTTAAGAAATTAGGACTAGTTGATTTGGTGTCGATAGTAGAAGTACCACCGAACAACCTGAAGCGCATTTTAGTAAGAAATCGCATGTATGATAGCAGCTGTACTACGGACAATTGTTTATATGTCCAGGAGGTAGAAGCGGAGATTGCATGTCAACTGGGGCGGTCTACTCCATTTCCTGTGCCGTCTGCGGAGACGAGTATGTAGGTGAAACCGCACGTCCCCTATGTATTCGTATAAAAGAACACCTAGATGGCAGGGATAAACAGCGAACTTCTACTCCGTTAGGAACACACAGAGTACTAAGGCATGAAGGATCGAGTTTTGAAGTGACCGTAAAGATATTAGCACGTGAACCTAAAACGGATGCTCGCAAGTTTCTAGAAGCATTGTGGATTCATGCCAGGAACCCACAAATCAACCGTAAAGAAGAATGCCTCGCAATCACGAGAGAACTATCTCCTTATCTGAGCCAACTATGCTGACCTCCCATTTAGTTCTTCCATATACAGTCAGCCCAGCGGTCGTTCTACCAAGGGTGTTGCTTGCGGTGAGTAACTGTTGCAAAGCTAGTGGCCAAAATTAAGGCTTAGACCTTTTTCGTAAGGCCGTAAAGACATTTGCCCGTCTGGGTTACGAATCGATACCCCATTCAGGCCCTGACGAAGGCGAGAAGCCAAAACGTTGGCCAATAAAGTTTGTAACAATCTCGGCGTTGGCTACAAGACATCAATCTCAACTTATAAACTATGCCGAGATTTATCGAGAGTCGTACATGCTATTCATGAATCGTTAGAGTTTATCTAGCAATTGTCTTGGCATAGTCTCCTCTGAACACATCTGATGCAATCTGAGAATGGCTTCATTTTGCTTTTGGCACATTGAAATTTTTGATTTGACCAGCTTTTGACAAATGCGTAAGTTTCTTCCATTTCACACCATAAAGCAAACGGTTTGCACAGATTTGTAGCTCACTACCTGATCTACATTATATTAAACAAATCTTTTATTCAGACCAGCTTTCAAAAAGTGCGTAAGTTTCTCCACTCTACTACCACAAACCAAACGGTTTGCACAGGTTTGTAGCTCACTACCTGATCTACATTATATAAAAAACCATTTAGACTAGCTTTTGAAAGATGCGTGAATCTCTCAACTTTACCACATATTGAACGGTTGCACAGGTTTGTAACTCACATATGCAAACCGTCTGGTTTGTGGTGGTGAAGTAGGAGAAATTTACGCATTTATAAAAGCTGCTCAATTCAAGAATTACACTGTGCCAGAAACAGAAATGAACCCATTCTCAGATTGCATCAAACGTGTCTAGAGGAGACTGTGCCACAATATTACTTCTTCAGCCATCGTCCGGCTATCTTACAGTACGCTTGACGTCAATTGAATTGCTACTTGTTAGGTTACATTGCAGATTTGTAACATAATTAACGCCTGTTGCATTGGTATAGTCGTCCTCACCCCACTAGGCCGCGGCAGAGCGTGGCAGACCGCCCTCAGCCAACCGCGTGCACGAGCTTTTTTCTTATTAACTTCGTGTTTCTTTGGTATCCCTCATATCGCGGCAATGTTTCTAATCTGATTTTCAGATTTCGCATCAATAACTCTTTGAAACAACCACTTTTTGAGAGACTTTCAGCCTTAAAATAGTTTAGAGTAAACATTCTAACGAAAGACTGTGATACAGTTTATCAAATCACATTTGTGTACATGTCACTTACCGGGAAAGAGATTTTCATTCAAAAATCTCCAATCGCATCCTTCTTTCCGGGTTACCTGGAAAAAATGTAAAACAAACGAGCACAACTGCACAAAACAATAGTTAGCGGTACCAGATTTGAAAATCTGATTATTAACATTGCCGCAATACGAGAGATAGCAATGAAACACGAAGAAAATAAGAGAAAAGCTATGTGCAAATTGTTGGCTGAGGGGCGATCTGCCGCTCTCTGCCTCGGCCGGCCTGCTCCGGTTCGAATTCAAGTTCGACCACCGACCGACTAGTGGGGTGAGGACGACTATAGCGGCGTCATTGTGAGAGTGCCCTTTTCTGTGTTTTTATTGAACTTGGATGATGGCTGGATATGCTGGCGCTTAAATGTTGGGTTATTGTCAATCAGAGCTGATTTACCCAAACATAGATTGCAAGTTTGTCTTCCAAGAGAAGTACTACGGCGTTCGTCTACGATTGAAATTCTGACAGTTTCCATTCAGAACAAGCACAATGTGCAAGCATTGAGAAGACTGTGCTGTTCACATCTTGTATGAATTTTCCAGATATGTATACATTCGGCTTGTTGGCAATCAATCGTAAAACCCAATTTCCCGGCTAACGACAACTGTACAGTCTACCCCAATCGGGATCAGGCCGAACCCTCGACTGAATTTGCGCGCTCGCAGCGCTAGGGGATTGCGCTGCATACGCGCGCTGTCGCAGAGAGTGAAGAGATCGAGGAGAGAGCAGACTAGCTAGCCGCAGATGTGGCGCGAAACCTCGCGGCGCGGACTCCCGCCATGCCGATTTTGGCCTGGTTAGGATTGGGGCAGATTGTAGATGTAAATCGGCTAGGGATGTCCTCATAAGCTCAAAAGCTCAGTTGCTGAGCAAATCGTTGTTTTTCACAGAATTTTGTGGTTCTTCATGCGTACTTCACAACAGCGTTCAAAATTCCCAATTTTAAAGTAACAGAATTCGTGTTGAGTTTGGGTATTACTCCACTCGTATGTAAGAACTCTACCCGCGAAGAGTCATCACTTGAAAGGCGCGGAGATTACGGTCTTATACCATGAATATACGTACAAGCATATGAAGTCCAACAGAAAGAGCATCCGGTATCTTTGTCGTCAACCTTGTCGTCCCTTGTTTTCTTCGAAAGAAATATCACCTAGATTAAAAGACATCGAGAGCCAGACAGCTTTGGCTGAGTTGTAAGTGATTTGGAAAAGCATCACCAAAATAACTCGGATCTGATGATAAGTTGTATAAAGTATGCAGCTTGCAGAGGCATTCCTGTTCTTTTACTTTTCACAACTTCGCATGTCTAAGGGCCACATGCA